TATATATATAAACACCCCCCTCCCCCCCGGAGAGTGCTAGTTACTGAAGTGTCTTCATTCAAAGGGGGACATTAACATGTTCTTATGAATAGTAGAATTGTAAATGGGCTGATTCTTTAAAGTCATGCTCATAACTGTGCCTGAACTGCAACGGGGAACTGCTATTTTTTTTTCTTTATCCTTACTATCGTCATTTTTCCTCTACTTCTTTTGCATATTGGTTACTCTCTTGTGACCCGCTATTTCCAGGGGCCTTGATAGTCGAAGCAGACTGTGTGCTGTTGAAGCTAGAGAGGTGAGAAGAGTAAACCTGATTCCCTGTATGGATTTCTCTGCTGACATCCACCCCTTGGCGCTAATATGACCTGATGCAGTTGCGAGCGCCGTAAAAAACTCTACTAAAAAAACAAAGCTAACAACATACATATCAATGTTATTATTATTACTATTATTAACATGTCAAGCTTTTTCGAAAGGAATTCTTTGAATGTCTTGAAAACGACTCCTAACTATCATCCAATTTTGGTAGATCAAATGTGAGACGTGCTGACAAAATCAGTTACTTCTCTCAATCAAAGAATGGAGATATCAGCCAAAAATTGATGTCTTTGATTTCATTATTTTGAAAAGCGCCTGATTTCACCACGACGCCTCACATACTCGTAATATAATGACACTGTGTAAGACACCGACTCGGGAATCGAACACGGATCTCCTGCGTCCGAAAGCGAGGCGTTTAATATAACAACAGCCGCAGCAACTACACTACAATTAGTGAAGCGTGTGACATGTTGACAAAATGCATTACATCTAGCAATCCACGAATGCAGATGTTGTCCGAAAATAGACACATCAAAAGTGTAGATTTGAAACTGATGCCATTTTCCATTCAGTAAAAGTCACTTTTATCATTTCATAAAAACAAACCAAACCTATAAATTTCTTGCATCTATCCGTGTCCTAAGGGCTGAAATCAAGAGATTTTACTCATGATTTTGTAAGCACACCTCACACATGTATATACATACAGAAGCCGGTTAACGCGGCTGGAAGGAAAGATATTTTGTGGGTGCTTGGCTGGTGCTCTGATGTGGTTTGCTCCTTTTTCCCATCAAACAAATAACGGACTTATCCCCCCCCCTTTCTTTGTGTTTGTTCCTCTCTTGTAACACCTCTAATCTTTGTCAGTTATATGACCCTATTGAGCTGCGAGTGAAATACTCTAACTAAAACCGAAACTTTAGACGGAGGAGTCTCTAAGCTTAACCCTATCCGTACGTCGTGTTTTACTATCGTATCCATACGGCGTGGGGAACTCTGTGCCACCACTTTCCAAAGAGGAAATTTACTAGTTTGTCCAATACGTATGCTTTGCATAACAGTCTGTCAAAATGATTTTTTGAGAAATACTGAAAGTTTCAAAGAGATCTTCGTACTAGAAGCATTTTAAAATGTGAAGAATACAACCCTGGGGGTACAAAATGACCCCAGGGCGTAGGGATAAGGTTAAGGTCAATAACAGAACGATACGGCTGGCTAAGTCATAAAAAGTGTCATCAGGCACTCGTCAGTATAATTTGAACACGTTGAGGTTTTTTTAGCGTCTTAAAAGTTTGTTTATATGTCTTGGATTCATTGACCCTC